TCAATCTCCTTTCATCTCCTTTGCCAGCAACAACATGACTCTCTTTCCTAATTCTGGGTCTATTCACTCACTTGGCCTGAAAATCATTATTTAACCTTGAATGTATATATTCATTTCTTTCTAAACTATATTATAATGCTGAGGATAGACACCTTAGATTAATTCTACTTTTCATCCATTACAAAATCTAGTATAATGGTAGTTTGTAAATATTTGAGGGCAGGATTGCATAGAGGCATTAATTGAAGCCATGAATTTGTCAATTAATTTGTGAGAAAATGAACGGGATCGGGACAGCAACAAGTGACACGAGGAGAAGCTCGATAAATAAATACTCAGAGGTTTGGAGGCAGAACCAGGCGGGAGCAGCACATTAGCAGCCCAGGAAAGAAAAATGTTTGAGGAGAGATTGGCTCTCAGTCTTTATTGATTCAGAAGTTGAAGCAGATGTGCATGAGAACATATGTTATTTTTATAGTAAAATAGAGGATGTACAAACTTTACATAGCAGATTGTATATAAAGGAACTCACTCTTCCATTCAGATTTGAAGAAATATTTATTGAGTGCTTACTATATGCCAGACACTACGCGTAGTATCTAGTAATATTATAAACAGCTTTCTTCCTAACTTCTGAAGCGGACATCATTGCAGGCAATCTCCATGCCCCTTGGTGCCATTCGCAGACCATGAGTTATGTTATTTCCCATTGCATTAAGGAGCACATGGCATTTGTTTTCATGGAAATCTAACTAAGCACAGATGTCTGATTGTGGCTTCTCGCCTAGGGATTTAACTACAAAACAGGGGCTACTTTTTTTCTCATCTCCCACATGTTTTGATTATACGCTTGAGTATTGGGATTCTGTTTAAAATGATGGCTTAAAACAATCCTAATGACAAGAAATGAGAGTCTGATTTCTAATCCACGACTGATGGTACATTGTACAAATATTTGTTGATGCAAAACCAGCAGATTTTCTCTCGTGTAGGTTCGAGGATCTTCACTAATAGAGACAACCACTTCTGTTTTGAATCACATATGGATGTTTTCAGATCCTGCTTCTTATTTCCTACCTGAGACTATACTGAGAAGAAAAGATTTATGTTTTGCCAGTCTGGTGACTGCAAATTCATGTCTTCCTGTAGTCTCCATTTGGTTCTGAGGCATATTATGAGACTTGGCAAATTCACTTGAATGGATCTCATTTGTTACTTTCAGGTCGATAAGCATCTTAAGCATTCTAGCGCCTGCGACACTCTCTTTGTCATATCCCATAACTTCTTACCAGGGCTCTCCCTGGAGAAGAGTTAACCAAAAGAAATGTAATCCTTTACGTCTTATATAGGACATATTTGAGTGAAAAAACCCAAACTGAAAATGAACCCATTTTGATGATCAGGCATTTTTTTAAAAATACTAAAAATATATTAGTCAAATTTTTAAAATTGACTTCATTAGCTTCTTGAAATTGCATGCACATTAATAGGAATTTTATTATTAATTCTTCTAATTTGTTTATACCAGGCTCTGAAAGGGGTCTTATTATTTTCTTGAGTCTAGCTACGCATTGATGAGACTCATTAAGCATAATTGAATCTGGCAATTTATCACCCAGATTAAAAGCCCTTTCCATATAACCTCCATTTACCCTTTATATTTAGAGGCATCTCCTTGCCATCAATCAAGGGCTTGGTGTAAATTTCCCAGATTTCTCAGTAACAGAATCTCTGCGTATAGCTAGGCATGTCCTTCCTGTCCCGCACTGCCCTTCCTCCTGCCCACATTTACAAGAATACTCTATTCTCTTTTATTCAAGCGAAGTTGTAAAAAGTCCACAGTGTTAAGTTGTTTGAATAAGTGCAATCTTGCCTTTTCTATCATTTCTTTCCCGAGCCTTTTCTGGTCATATTTCTTCACTTGAGCCCTGTTCTTCAGGGAACTATCAGAAATCAATGCCCTTTACAAATGCTAAACGTCTCTTTCTTGTTATGAATGGAACATTAGCCACCTAAGGTCTCCTGTCTTCCCCCATCGTGACTAATAGGATTGTAATTTCATCAAGGTCTCCGATGACATCAAAAACCATACCAGTGAACCGTTAAGTGGATTTGGATGTCACCTGATCTCTGCAATGAAATTCAAAGCACTGTCTATTTAAAGATTCAGAGGCAATGGGGTCCCAGCTAAACCTGCCACTCTGACCCAAACAAGGTATGCCTGATGGAGCAGATGGGATGAAGATGATGAATCATTTCTTAAAAAACACTTCAAACAAAATGCAGAAGACGTAGGCAGACACAGGAAACAGACACAACTGCTTGAATTTTAGTCCATCCTCTACAGTTATAATCTCTCTTTTCTCTTTTACAAATAAATCAAAAGAAAACGTTTGAATACTGTTGAAGCCCCATGAGGTCCTGTTCGAACACGCAAAGAAAGTGCTATTGATCTAGTGTTCATATTTTGAGGATTTTTGCTTGTTTTTTTTAATTGTTGTTTTCGTTTAATTGGTATTGACTTGTCTATCTTCCTTATTTTCAGCCTAGCCCTGCATTTGTGGGAGCTGCATGAAATGAGAACAGTATGATTTAAGCTTCAGAACAGAATCAAACTATATTGCAAATTGGAAGTTTGAACCTGGCCCCTTGGCCTCAGTGCTTGAATCTACAAAGCTAAATAGTTATAGTATAATTTTAATGAACAGGAACACAATGTTTTCTTGATTCTTTGCTCTCCCTTCTGAGATGGTGAGCCTCAATAAACCATCTGTATCTGTCAAAGGATCACTGTTTTCAGAGACATTCATTCAAAACTTGGATCTTTGTGACTCAGCTTTTTACTTCCACTCCTAATTCTGATCCTTTGTCACTTTACATGGCTCGTCATCACTTCCATAGCCCTGTGCTTGGCCTCTTGGACTCCAGTCTCCCCTTGTCTACCCATCCTACACACTCATACCATTTAAGTGGCTTTTGTCACTTGGTCTCCTTCATGAAAGTTGCCTATGGCTCCTATTTCTTTCCACATCAAATCTAAACCACCCTTTTCTTGGCTTTTGAAGCCTTTCATGATCTGGCCCCATTCCACCTGTCCCGTCCCATTCCCCCATTCCCCAGCACATATAAAGTCTTATCTCTACTGTCAATTGTCAGTCATGCTGTCTGGATATGTCCTTGTGGAAATATCTTCCCTGATCTTAGCCTTTTGAAAGCATTTCCATCTTTACCCATGAAGCCTTCTCTGGTACTTCTAAAGTCTTATCTTCTGCTGCTCTGGATTCATAGGGATTTGTGATATGTGTGGTGTAATGTTATATTTCATTGTCTTTCATTTGAGATTTATATGTGCCCCCCACCTTCCAAAAGGATTTGCAGCAGTTACTTAAGTAGATAGCATCTTGTAATGTTTAATCATTGCTTCCTATCTATGTTACTTATCTCCACTCAGTCGTTAGCTCTGCCAAGACAGGGACCATACCTCATGCTTCATTTTGAAATGTAGCATGGAAAAATGGAGAGGACACAGCGCTAGGAGTCAAAGGACATGGGTCCAAATATAATTTTGCTACGAATTAACAATGTGACCTTAGGGTGAATTACTTGAGTCCTGAGGGACTAAATTATATATAAAATGCTAATAATTGCATTTTTCACCAAAAGTAAAGAGCTTTTCTTTTTCTGTTCACAAAAATAATACTTTCTCATTATAAAAAAAATCGAAATAATACAGAAACAAAGAAGAAATTAAAAATCAACTGAATTTGTACTACCCTGAGATAAACACTATTAACATTTTGGAATTTATCATTTCACATAGAGTTTTTTTAATCCATGTGCACACATGAGTAAGAGATCTGTCTATCTACCTATCTATCCATCTATCTATCTATCTATCTATCTAATAATGGGAAAAATACTTATTTCTTGGCAGCCTTTCCCACTTAATATAAGGTAGACGTATTTTCACTTCCCCAAATTATTATGGCATTGTATGGATAGTAAGTTATACGTAGTCCCTTCTTAAAAACGTATTTTAGAGAATGACGTAGGAATAGACATACATACTGATTGCTGAAAGGGATATATAATCCCCAATTTATCATCTTTGATGACCTATTTCTACCTGTTGTACAGAATCTTTCCATTTCCTCTTTGCCTTCCTAATGGGATCTCCATTTGCCTGGCTTCAGTTCAGTGGGCATTTGATTTCGCTGAGGTCTCCACTTCCAGCTCCTCATGAATCCGGCTTTGTCTCCATCACACAGCGCACAGTCGCTGAGCCATAATCCCAATGTCCATAAAGCTCTAAAAGTCAAAAGGTTTTTTTCTTTTTTTTTAAAGGTTTGGCCCAACTCAGTTGGCAGAAAAATCTGATGTAAATTGGTGTCAGGCAACTTATGGCTTTTATTTAATTCATTTAGTGCAAGCATTTATATGTTTTACTTTAGAAATATGAATGTATTTGACTATGAATTGCCACTCGAAGTCCTTCAGGTACATCATAGAATATGCGTTCTCTATTAATTATCTAGTAAATACAAAATATTCTGAATTTCAAAATGCATGGTACAAAGGGCTTTGGATAAGAGATTGTAGCCCTGTTGTAAACTTATAAGAGCTACAGTCCCTGTGACTAAAATCAGAACATTTGGGGCCTGCCTGGTGGCATAGTCGTTAACTTTTTGTACTCAACTTCCTCAGCCTAGGGTTCGCAGGTTTGGATCCCGGGTGTGGACCCTAGCACTGCTCGTCAAGCCATGCTGTGGCTGTGTCCCACATAAAATAGAGGAAGATGGCACCGATGTTAGCTCAGCGACCATCTTCCTTGGGCAAAAAGAGGAAGATTGGCTTTAGATGTTAGCTCAGGGCTGATCTTCTGCTCAAAGATAAATAAATAAATAAAATCAGCACCTTGTTTTTCTGGTTTATACTCATTTAAAAAAAATAAGAGTGTTGGGCATTACAGCAGTGTTTTTCAAACTTGTATTTTCTTTTAGGGCTTCAGAATACAGCTGCAAACAAAATCTTACCTAGGAAACCAACCTGTGGCTGAGGTAAAAGTCAAGTCCCTCTGCCTTGATGGGGAGCAAGCCTGTGCTCGGGTCTGCTGCATCCCTTCTCCACCCACCCACTGTCCCCTCTGCTCTGGTTTGGGGAAACAGCTGCAGTAAAAAGCCACAATTTCTTATGCCCCAGGATACCAAGGAAGGCAGGGCTGCAGCTCAGTGACCGGGCCACATCATTCAGGGAGTGCCACCTTTCCATGGAGGGGAAGAGTTTTGTTGTTGATGTTTCTGCTGTTATTTTGTTCAAATTTTTTCTGTCTGGTCAAATGAGCAAAAGCCGGCATTTAGCATATGAGAAGAATTGCAAAGAGATTTCATGGAAGCCCAGGTTATTTCAAGGTTGAATGTATGGGAGTTGAGGATCACTTGACTTGAAATTTATTAAGCAATCCCTATTTGGGGCATTTATGTCTTTTTTATATAATAAATAAAGCCGTGATGCACATATATTATTGTGTATTTGTATTACCATTTCCTTATGATAAATTCTGAGAGTAGGAGTGTTGCAAATGCACTTTAAAACTTTTATACATAGTAGTAAATTGTCCTCCAGAAAGATCATATCAATTTACACCCTATATGACCCTTTAAAATCTCTTCAAGTCTTAATTTTAGGAGACATTGAATCAATAAGTGTTTAATAAAGCTTCCTTACTGTTTTAGTTAAATTTTTGGCATACTATAATTTTTTTAAGTGTCATATGATTTTAATAAGCACTGGAAAAGGAAGGCTCATAAAACAGATGTTTCTTGCCGCCAGTACTTAATTAAAATATTTAAGATTTTAATCACTAATTTTTGTTTTAATTCTCAAATTTCTGACTTTATCTTCTTTGCTCTTTTACTATTGATACAAGTTTATAAAGAAGGGTTCTCAGAATGGAAATTGTTACTTAAAATGGTTATCAAAAATTACAAAAACTGAACTATAAAAAAAAATTTGTCCACTAAACTATTTTTTTCTACTTCTGCAGGTTTTTCATTTTTAAGATGAGCCACTCTTTTTTCCTTCTATTCCTTTATTATGTGTTTTAAATGTATGCTATCAGAAAAGTGTCTATAACTGAAATAATAAGAGCATATTGTTGAATAAGGCATTTTCTGTAGAAATCTTGATGATGGACATCTTACAGGAGTACTAGAGTGCCAGCGAGGGGCACCTCTGTGACTTTAATTATTGAAGGCTTTTTCCCTCACAATGACTGAATCATAGAGTGAACACATTTCAAACTGAATGAAGCTATAGTTTTCAGACAGTATAAATCTAACAAGAAAAGTGAGGGAAACAATGATGAAATCCAGGAAAACCAGAAATCTGATCAATAAATAACAACAGAGTCTCCTTAGGCCTCCGTAATTATGCCTGTGTGAGGAGAGAGACGGTCTTCGACATCTTCACAGCAAGCTCTTTCTTCCTTCAGCTGCAGTTTTGAATTTGGCTATGTGGTGAACAAGATGTGAGAAAATAAACTCCCCTGGCTTTCAGGGTCTTATGTCTTTCAATCAAAATGATAGAATCAAGCCATATATTTTTTATTGTTTTGTCAAGTATAATGGTTGAATTCTGGAAAAATCTTTCTCCTAGTGTCCATCATTCAAGAAGCCTGGCTCACAGGTGGGGCAGGCAACCAGGGGCTAGCCTGACACATAGTAGGCACTGAGTGAGTATTTGGAGCATGATCCGAGCTAATCTTGTCTTTTGGGGTTCAGATACACACATTGTGTCCAGTTCTGTCAGTCAACATGCTTCATCAACTAGTCGGAATACAGTGAGCAACAGGAAGTAAACTTGGGGTGCTCATAGCCTCTGTCACCCCAGTGCTCATTCCAGTAATCTAGCCATTGGAGAGAAAGGTAGAACCGATACTACTTTTGCTTGTGGTTCTCAACAATTTCTTAATATAGTTGGAACTCTCATGAGATTTTGTGTGCATTTGCATGCACATGTGTGTATTAATAACTAGGCTACATGTCAGCTTACTGAGACTGTATTCCGTTAAAACAAATAATAAAACATACCAATGTTGGGAACCCCCTGGTATGATACAGAGGACACAGCATCATTTCTGGGATGTTCTGGCCAAAAATAAATAGCCTTAGTCCAATCATGAGGGAAAAAACATCAGACAAACCTAAATTGAGAGATATTTGACAAAATAACTAATCACTATTCTTCCAAAGTGTCAAGAACATGAAGGCCAGGGAAAGGCCGAGGAGCTGTTACTGACTGGGGGAGACTGAGGAGAGATGACAACTAAATGTAAAGTGGGATCCGAGACAGGATCTTGGCACGGAAAAGGATATTAGTGGGAAAACTGAAGTTCCAGTAAGATCTTTAGTTTAGTTAATGGTATTGTACCAATGTTAATTTCCTGGTTCGCACCATTGTGCTATATTTATATAACATGTTAACTTTAGGGGAAGCTGTATGAGGAATATAATGGGAATTCTACACTACTTTTGTAATTTTTCTTTGTCTAAAATTACCTCAGTGTAAAACATTTTCAAAAAACATATTTTGGGGGCCAGCCTGGTGGCACAGCGGTTAAGTTAGGACATTCTGCTTCGGTGGCCTGGGATTCGCCGGTTTGGATCCCAGGCGCAGACATGGCACTACTTGTCAAGCCATGCTGTGACAGGCGTCCCACATATAAAGTAGAGGAAGATGGGCACGGATGTTAGCTCAGGACCAGTCTTCCTCAGCAAAAAGAGGAGGATTGGCAGCAGTTAGCTCAGGGCTGATCTTCCCCAAGAAAATAAATAAATAAATAAAAATAAATAAAAACATATTTTTCATAGGGACTGCTATTAGGTTCCTTCAGATAGTTCAGTTAATTTTAAGTCATTCTAATCAGATTTTACATTTATCCTTAATAAACTTAGGCTTGTTCATGTAAATCAGTTGTCCCAGCATATGATGGTCAGATCAGAGTCAGGAAAACAAGGTTTTAAATTTCAGCTCTGCTGCTTACCAGATGTGTGACTGTGGGAAGTTACTTAGCTTCTCTGGCACTCTATGTTCTTATCTATAAATATGGAATAATGATGATGATACTAACACTTACTTCATGAAGCATTTGAGAGGATTAACTGAAATAGCATTTAATAAGCACTTAGCACAGTGGCTAGGACATGGCAAGCGCTTTATAAATATTAGTTGTTGCTCTTGATATTGTTATTGTTTAAATCTCTTTTCCTTTACTCAGCAGTAAAATGTAAATAATGTCCCAAGTCTGTTGCAAGGATAAGATGAGCTGCTGTGTCTAAAACTCTTTATGTCCCTGGACATAGTTAGCACTAAGTAAGATGTGGTTACCACCATCATCCATCCATCCATCCATCCATCCATCCATCCATTCATCTAAAAGTCAATTCAGTATTTTTGAAAGTCTCCTGTGTACCAGATATTGGCATGTCTTTAATGTGAAAAGCACTGCTATTAATCTTTGAACAGGAAGAGTGATTATAATAAGATATGCTTTCTATGCATATAGCACATTACAATCCATAAAGAGCTTTCCCATACATTATTTCATTAGATACCTTCTGATGCGTTTGCTATAGTTATCAATTTCTGTTAAGGTGGATGATGAAAATGAATATCAGAAAGAATATATTCTAGCTTATGTGACTAGTCAGGGAGTTGACGAACTTTTTCTGTCAAGGGCCCAGTAGTAAATTCTTTAGCTTTGTGGGCCAGATGGTCTCTGTGGCAGCTCTTCACCTCTGCCGCTGAAGCACGAAAGCCGCCATAGACAGTGGGGAAACAGATGTGAGTGACTGTTCCAGTAAAACTTGATTTACGAAAACGGGTAGTGGGCTGCATTTGTGGACTCCGGACTAATCAGTTGCAAAGCAGTTTCTCAACTGTAGATTTCTGACTCCAAGTCCAGGCATTTCATGATCCCCTGTTGCATCATGTCGGCACAATTGTTAGGCAGAGAACACCACAGTTTGCCTCTGCAATTTCACTTAACTAAAACGATCGTCTAATCCCTATTTCTATATCCTGCTTCTTGGTCATCAAGAAATATTTTATTAAACACTCAGTAGAAATCCGGATTCACTTTGCCTCTCAGTCTTGTCACCTTTTTCCAAAAAGATGTGAATGGGACTTGTTCTTAGGGCATCCCTGTAACTCCTAGTGACCATCGATTTCTAATTGTCATATACTCTCTTTTAAAACATTGCATTCTAGAAATGGTTCTTTCTTGGGGGCGGGGGGTGGTCAGCCTACAAACTGATTTGTAGCTTCTAAATCCAGCTTTTTCCTTTGATTTTGGAAAGAAAAAACTTTCTGAAATGTTCTTAAAAAACAAACCACATTTTCCTGCTTTTAATATGGGCCCCTCTCTGACTCATCCCGATTCCCCAAAGATTGCCAACAGTGCTTCCACGGTCCCATCTGAGGTCCTTTCATTACCCAGAGTGTAATTTATTGTTGAGACTTGGATTTATGCAAAGCTGTTTGCTAATCTTCCTTGGGATCTCTCCACTAATTTTGGGCTTCATGTTTTCCTCTTCTTTTCAACCTGGAGTTCATCTGCCTTGATAGGAAAGGTGGAAGCAATATAGGAATTGAATGATTGGCTTTCTCCGTCGCTTCTAGCAGCATTACATCATCTGTGTCAAGCAATAAGTCAGTCCCATCCTTGTTCTCATCTGAGTCGAAACACAGTCTTAACCTAACACTCTTTGTAGATTTCATGAGGTTTTTTTAAGCCATGGCTTACCCTGGACTTTTCGACACTGTTTTTACAGATTTATGTTTCTCTTTCTTCCTTGGTTATTTGTCCTTCCTTCTACACACACTAAAGCTTATTATTCTCATTTAGTTATAGAACCAAAATAAATTTACAAATTAAAAACTGTGAAAGCAATAAAATTCAAATATATGACATGAATTTAATATGGTAGATAGTGCTGTTTTGCTGAAACCTTTGCTAGACTTGGAACTTGTATGTGGTCTTCTATGGTCTTTCCACTAA